GACAACACCTGCGTTTGATGTAAGTTGAGCCTTCGCCATTAGTTAGGTAAACACTAAGAAGAAACTGATGCTCATTATTTTTCATATGTGGCCAAGAATCACGTGAAAATTCAAATTTCTATATACCGGTAGCTTTTCAGGTCAGTGCCAACTACTCATAGTGAGTGTTTCCCTACTAGTATTTACTTTGCTGGTACAGTGGAACCCCACCTTACGGCCACCTCATTAATACGGCTACCTCTTTGTTATGGCCACTTTATTCTGGCCCAAACAAAAGCTCAGTCAGTCATTTTATTATTCAAAGAACCCCTTTATTATGACCACCCCATTAATACAGCCATATTTCTGAGGCCGGTTGGTGACTGGATTATCAGGGTTCCGCTGTACTAATGTGTGCACTTGGGCAGAGAAATGCACTGTATGGGTGTTTTGAGCTAGAGTTCAACACTGTGACCCTAGCCAGGGCTCGAACCTGGACTGGTTATTCTCAAGTCCAGCACTGAGGCCCCAATAGTAACAATTTCTTTACACAATATCCCGTCTTATCTGATCTAAATGTCCCATATCCCATTAATTTTCCCTGGGAATACTGGTATTCTGTATTACATTAATTTTTTCCTAAATATCCTGTATCCCAGAAACCCTTAATAGGGCTTCATTGCTTTAAACATTGGGTCGCTGTGCCTCCCATAGGCAAAAGTAATGTAAATGGATAAAAATCTCAAGGCCAAGCTTTGCCAGTCCAGGTGGCCTAAACATGTATGCCACATTTTGAACATCTACATTTTGTACTAAATAAGCTGTAGGGGCCTAAAAGGTCAATATTCCAAACCTAAGCTTGGTATCAAGAAAGCTTTTTTTGTGTGCTGTTTTGAGATATACTGTGTCTAATACCAATAAATGTTAAACATTTTAGAGAGATGATGAACTGGAACGTCTCAGAAGAGAAGTGCAGCGTTATCGCTTGGAGTTGAGCAACAGAGAATCCAACTTCAATAGAATGTTTACTGATCACCACCCTGTCATAGTTGAAGGAAAAGGCAGGAAGTCCTCATCTGCTATGGTGCCTGACAATGTAAGTGGCTGAGGAGTCAATGTTCAACTCACCCATAAGGAGTGATCATACAAAAATCGCTCTTGGAGAAAAAATATTTGGGAAAAAAAAATTTGTAGGCACTTTTTGTAGTTAATTTGTTGAATTAGCTACTGTCTAAATCTGAGGCCAATCAAGCAAATCCCCTTCGACTTGTAGCTTTCAGAAGGTGATTCGGATGCATGGAGAGGTTGTGAAAAATTCAGCAGTTCATTTTGTTTCAAAATTCTTGGTATTATGTGATAGCCAGATCTATAAACTTTAATTTAATATAGAGGTAACTAGGGATCTACGGTTTAAGCTGGACACGTCACATGGCTTGGATGCAATCCACCTCAAAGGTATGCGGTACCTTACGCAGGCAGCTTACCTATAGGGTAATGTTACCGGTGTTGCACATAACAGTCTTTCTACATGTATGTGGGGTCAATAATCAGATCCAACCCATTTTAAACACCTGTGGTTCCTTACATTTCATGGCATGATTCTTATTTTGTGTATAAACTAACATATTTTTCCTTGTGTCAGTCTTTCCCAAACCTGAGTGGTGTACATGGACGGAAAAGAAGTGGAATTCAACCTCATTTACCAGCTCTTGGAGAGCAACGCATACACAGCAACCCGCAACATCAATTTCACGGCCTTTAATACATGAAATAAGGAGTGTCAATCACTTCTTGTTGTTATGAACTTGTTTCCCAAAAAGAATATTAATTCTATAGTTTGTTTAGTCATGCCAATGACGTATGTTCATACTCATCTGTTGTAGAGTTTTATTTGCTTTATTTATTGGTCAGGAATAAATTAATTTTATGTGGCTGTTACTGATTTATTTAACAGAATAAAGGTAACAAAAGCACACAATGGTGCATGGCTGTTGAGTGTTAGTTATATCATTCTCATCCCCAGAACTGGTCAGAACTGCTGGTCCCTGTCAGCTGGTAGGCATGTCACAGAAATAAAGTGACTCTGGAGACACTTGATTTGATTGGCTAGAATTTGGACCAAGATTTCCACTAATTCAGTCCTGGCTTCCTTCCAAAAGTATCCACTGGTCTATATCTTAACTAAAACTGTTTGATAAGAACAACTAAAAACCTTAACAGATTTGTGACAAACAGAATTTAAAACAGAAGTAAAATTCTGACTGGAAGTGCACATATATGGTTAATTATGGAGGACTTCACTGAAAATTCTCCTAATCGAGTGAGGTTTTAGGTAGAGAGAAACCAATGTTGAATAATTATCAGTGAAAATTTTAGTTCATAATACTAGCCAATCAAATCATGTGTCTCTAAGGCCACCTTTTCCTATTGCCAAGGCTGAGCTTAAAGGGACAGGCAACCCTGGGGACAAGAATGGTATGATATACTATAGAAACTTAAATTCTGTTTCCTAGGGTTCCGAGTCTTTTTGCTCATGGCAAACATAGCCTGACTTATTTAGGCCCTGTCATTTGGTCCAAACTCGACAAATCTATTCGATCTTCTGAATCATTGCACACTTTTAAAA